CTTGATCCATTCAAGGACTTTTGCAATTGGCTAATATCCCTATGTTCTGCGTTTTTGGATAATCTTTATCTTCACTTACAAACAACATGAATAGTAAGTAGTATAAGATGGGAGAATGGGTTTAATAAGACATTTAAAACTGATGGCCCAGGCAGGTATTGTAGAAGGTTGCTGACCAGGCTACACAGAAATGGATGGACTGAATTAAACAGAGAGAAAGCCATAGAGTTTCCTCACAAAAACACATTCAGACAGAGCGTCAGATGGCAAGGCCCCCAAGAGCAGTGGTTGGCCATATTTTATTCAGATGATCTTATTTGTTTTGGTATAACAGGTGAGATCAAGGTTTTTCTGGGACACAACAAACCCTGAAATAAAACCATCCCCAAATTAGAAGAGATAAATCACATACGTGGAACAGACAAGGCACAGAGACACCACATGATTTTGACTGTTTGGGTGTGCTGGCTGGGCTAATGTAATGATGATGTTTATTTTACCATTGCAGTGACCTGCTCGCTATAGATCACACTTCATCAGTTTTTCACACTGGATTGTTCAGAATCCTTCTCTTTAAACCAGAGGCCTATAACCAGACAATAGAAATATTTATAGCGTCTCAACTTAGTATTTTTCTATGATGAGAGACAAAATATTTAATAGCAAATGGATACTCTGATTAAAGTTATTCTTTATTAATATTACTAATAATAATAACAAAAATAATCATAGCCATTAGCTAGTTAATCCTTCAGATTGCAAGTATAGGATTCGGTTATCACATTTATATTAGGCTTATCAGCAAGGGATCGCTTACCTTTCTCAAGTAAGGCTGACCTATCCAAAAATCTACTTTTTTGATTCTATTGGCCATGGCGACTTTTTCCAGCACCTTATGTGGTCATGAATCCACTGTGACTGATAAGAACCTCCAAAGCCTTGAGCTGGTTGGACTGCATTACAGTTAGATACACTCACTTTAAACTAGAAGGAAGGATCCTAATTTTACAATACTAGATTTGATCCAGACTGCTGTTTTCATAGTACCTATCTTTGTCTAAAAAACTACATTAGTTAACATCTCCACCCACCTCATCAGAAAAGCCTTTAAGTATTGGGAAGCTGTCAGGCTCATGGCGACAGATGACAAAGTTTTCCAAATTTTCATTTCCATTTGAAAGCTTAAATTCTGTCATTGACACCATATACTGTCATTTGTTTTTCTTAAAGTGACATGCTAACTTCACTCATTGTAGAGAGAATAGCTGCCAGATCCCCAAGTCTGAGCAGCCATAGTTTGTCAGTCATTCTTTCAAGTAAAAACGGTGTACCGTGAAACAAAAAGCAACTAGTTCATCTCACAACACAAATGTTCACGCAAGCGCTTTTCCTGGAAACCATCATATTTCAGTGTGCCGCAGAAGTACTTTCTGTGTACTTCCCATTTCATCACACAAAACACTAAAAAGACATGTATTCGGGGTTAAGACTTAGTAAAATGAATTAGTGCTTCATCAGGGTCATTCTTAAGTGGAAGTAGCTTTTTCCCCTCCCTGTAATTGCCTGGCAGAGAACTCAATGACTACTACGAGAATGTACTGTCGTTGACTTAATTCGCGCTAATGCACCCGGGATTTTTATCTAACCTTGTTTTGTACTATCAGTGCAAATGTCAACATAGTAAAAAGACAATCTTGTAATTATAATGGAAATAGTTTTGAACTTGTGGACCCTCTTAAAGAGTCCTGAGGACTCCCAGGAATTCACAGGCCACACTTTGATGACTGTTGGCTTAATGTGAAGCCAGCATTGAGAACTATTGATAAAGATAATGATTGCAGCAATTAAAATATTTACAACCAGATATTTCAAATAATCAATATTTCACATATGGAAGTAATCTATCTATCTGGTTTATTCATATATAAATATGAGTAGTATTCATACATAAAAATAAGTAGTATTCCTACTTTTTAACAGTTGGACAAATATTGAAAATCAACTTTATTAAAATGTATATACATTTAAATGCAAAACACATTTAATCCTTTTAAGAAGGTAGCACTCTTCTATAATTTCAAAATAATTAAAACTTGTCTGTATATTAATATGAAGTGACCACATGGTTTTAGTGACGTGTAAAACCAAGAAATTCAAACCTGTTGCCATCAAGTCGATTCTGACTCATAGCGACCCTATAGAAAAGAGTAGAACTGCCCAATTGGGTTTCGAGGAGTGGCTGGTGGATTTGAACTGCCAACCTTTTGTTTAGCAGCCGAACACTTAACCACTCCGCCACTAGAGACATGTAGGTATCTGTTTACTATAAATGCGCTAAGTAAATCCAGTTCTGATATACATTCAGAATAAATGGAGTTGAACCCACAAGGTTAATACAACTCAGAAATAAACTCAATGTTATGATAGCACCTGATTCAGAAATACTTTTTAATATTTCCTAATTATAGTAGATGCTTGATTTAGATAGAAAATAATTTTTATGACTTATTAAATAATGAAATCAACAGTTTCTATTCAGACAAAAATTCTGACTTTGTATTTCTTTTCTCTTCTCTCATTAGGTTTGATAGCTGTCGTGATCTTTATCTTGCTTTGCATCACTGCCATAGCTGCTCGTATTTATCAGCAGAAAAGGTTATATGAAAGGAATGAGGCAAAAAGGTCAGAGAATGTAGACAGTGCCGAGGCTGCTTTGAAAAGTGAGCTTCATATACAAAATGCAATCAGTGAAAATCAGAAAGAGTACTTCTTCTGATTGGCAGCTGTGGTTTAACTCATAATTATGACAGCTTGTTTTAATAGCCAGGGGCTCTCAATGGACAAAAAAATGCTCTTAAGTTGAATGTTCAGACAGTGGATTTGCAAAACTGCCTTCCTGTCCTCGTCCAGGCTCAAGACGGCTTCCTGGAGGCCTCATTCAGTGACATAATATCCATAGCACTCATTCTGTGTAACAAGGACTTAGATATTGCTGGTAATTTCCAACTGTTCCGATATGATCTAAAACAGAAGTTTAACTTGCTTCATGGCTGGTTTTTAAATGTGAAAACTGTAACCCTGGTCTCATAACCATGTGATACCTAAGTTTTGTTCAAGGTAAAAGTCAAATTTGGACCATAACAACCTTGCTTTATTCGAAAACATATTCTGTGTTTGTTTTGGTGTTCCCATGGTGTTATTCATAGACCTGGAAGTGCTTCTAAGATCCTGTTTGGCTGGCATTGACATCTTCTGTAGCCAAAACTATACAAAGCCCCTTTGCCTTTCTCTGTATTACATTCAGTACAATACATCAGTAGTCTGGAAAGATGTTGTTGTTGCTTTGTTTGCATTGCTCTTCTTTTTCTGTTTGACTATTCTTAATTGTTTTGGATACCTTTGGTTTTCAGCATCAAATTTCAACTATGAACATACAATTCACATGTAACAAGACTGAAAGAGTGCAGTGGTTTTCAGTGTGGGATGTTTAATTTGCTATCACTATTAATGACAGTAATCAGGATCCTGTCTATTGCCAATTTCCCAAAGAATGTGTAATGTTTTCAACTAAGTTTACTTATATAAAAAACATAATTCTTAACACTGCAGAAACTTATTTTTTATTTACATCTCTAGTACCTCAAATGAATTATAATTCTGGGAATAGTTTTCCCGAATCTTGGATGATTGTCAGTTTTCTTTATAGTTTGTACCTCTCTTTTCCAAAGGCTTATCAACAACTCTTCTTGATCGTCTGTGACTATATTCCATGGAACATCTTTCATGAATTAGAAAAAAGAGACAATTTGAACTGTAACATTCCATTTCCCATTCTAAAAATTATACTCCTTTAGGCTTACATTTCCTGCAAATCTGCCTCTGGTAGATACTTTTGGAATATAAACTGCAACTATGCCATCTTTCTACACAGCCAGTATAGTGGTTAAAGGATGCTCACTCTAAGGGGAGATGTATACTAAATCTGTCCTTCTGTTCGATTCTAGCTAGGATGCTGAGGTCACTTTCTCAAAAATTACCAAGAATAAGTATAAGTTACTAACTGGTGCATTCTTATTAGGATGTATGTACACAGTAGGTGATCAACTAATTATCAGTAGCTTTATGGGAACTGCTCCAATACCTGAGTCAATGTAAACAAGATGCTTGAGGCAATGTAAACAAGATGTAACCGTGGAGCAATCCTCTGAATTCCATAAACCAATTATATAATAAATGTCACTTTATTATCCATGCTCACACCTTCCATGTGCCTGCCAAGTAAAAATTAGATACCTTAGTTTGTCGACACCCGGGAAATTTGGAAATATATAAATTGGGCATTACTATCAGCTTCTATTCCATGTTTTCTTTGTTAACTCTCCTTACAATAACTGTCTGTCTTTTCTCATAGTACTACATCCCTATTGATGTTTCTATAAATGCCTGACTAAATCTTAAGGCTCTGAATTAACATAGTCATTGATGAACAAGCTATCTTGATAAACGATATACATTTCTCGTTCTTTTGTTTGTTTGTTTGTTTTAATCTAAAGACCGGTGATGGCTAGGAGAGGATTTACCAGAGAAATAGTAGTTTTTATTTGATGCAAAGCTGAATGCAAACATCAGCACAGCACTGAATCTTTTACAAGTTTTCCTCCGGTTCAGTAGCAGTGTTAACCTGGTTGGTGGCTGGAATGGAGAGAGGGTTATAGATGGCAAGCTCACAGTCCTCGGTGGTCAGCACTGCAGAGATCATGCTATGGCATCAGAACACCCTGGTACCTCATACGCCATTGCTTTCACTTCCTGATTTGTAATCTGTTCCTCCTTTTTTCTTAATAAAATGCACTTTTGAAATAAAATGCAGAATATATTTTAAGACAATTTGTATAAAAATTTAAAATTAGCCGATTATACTTCTTTTCCTAAAACAGTAAAATGATATGTAGATGTATCTCTATGTCTTCTTTACTATTGTGGGTGTGTTTGTAAACCTTTTGGTACATCCTGTGATTATGAATTAAGTACAGCTGCAATTACCATGTATTTTTTTCCTTTTAACTGGATCAAAACATTTAAAGAAAGGTAGAAAATTGTTACTGATTGCTACAAGTAAAGCAAAGTTATACTCGATTTAAAGCTTTGCCAGAGAACAATTATTTGATTGTCAGTAAGTGTTTGCTGAAAGGATACTATTTACTTAAATTGGGTGAAATCCTGTTTTTTGTATTTTTTTTTAAATCTACTCCAGAGAACTTGGCCAATGAACATTATAAAAATGTGCAGATGCCAGATTAAAGAATATAGTGCACCCTTCTGTGATAAAAGGTAAAAAAAAAACAACCAGAAAACAAAACTTTTGCAATTTCAAGTGAAAACAATATATAACTAACAAAGTAATGGTTACGTTTTGTAAAGCCGTTTTCCAACTAGATAGATAGATAGCTGTCCTTAAGTCAACTTCGACTTATGACAACTTTGTGTACAACAGAACAAACTGTTTCCCAGTCCCGTGTCATCCTCATAATTGCTGGCATGTTCAAGTTCATCATTGCAGCTATTGTGCCAATCCATCTCCCCAAGGGTCTCCTACTTCCTAGCTGGCCCTCTACTTCACCAAACACAATGTCCTCCTTCAGTAATTGATCCCTCCTGATGACATGTCCAAAGCAAGTGAGTTAGACAAAGTGCTGTTGTGTTCCAAGAGGTTTTCATTGGCTGATTTTCAGAAGTAGATTGCCAGGCCTTTTTAACTAGTCTGCCTTAGTCTGGAAGCTCCGCTGAAACCTGTCCTCCATGTGTGACCCTGCTGGCATTTGAAATACCGGTGGCATAGCTTCCAGCATCACAGTACCACACAAGCTACCACAGTACGACAAACTGACAGGGAGCTGGTAACTTTTCCAGTGATTGCCCTTGAAAGCACATTTAAGAAATTCTTTTAAGGGTAGGTAAAACAATGAACAAAAAAAAAAAAACCTACCAACCAAAAAAACAGATGTTGATCATTTAAAATGGCCTCTCAAGAGACTGGAGAAACCCCGAGAGCATGGGCCCCGGACACCCTCTTAGCTCAGTAATGAAGTCACTCCCAAGGTTCACCATTTAGCGAAAGATTAGACAGGCCCATAAAACAAAATGAGGCTAATGGGGCACAACAGTTCAGGGGCAAGGACTAGAAGGCAGGAAGGGGCAAGAAAGCTGGTAACAGGGAACCCAAGGGACAGTGTTGACATGTCGTGGGGTTGTTAACCATTGTCATAAAACAATATGTGTACTAACTGTTTAATGAAAAACTTCTGTTCTGTAAACCTTCATCTAAAGTATAATAAAAAAAAAAAGAATAAAAAGAAATAAAATGGCCTCTCATTGGAGGACATTACCCTTCATATGTACCAGAATCTCGAATCAGAGTGCATGATGGAATTGGAGGGCACTGAATACTGAAGGTCCCTGTGTGGTACAAACTGTGCTTGTCTACTCGCTGAAAACTGGTGATTCGAACCTACCAGTGGCAGAAGGGCCTGGCAAGCTGCTTCTCTATAGCAAAGAAAACCGTATGGAGCAGTTCTGCTTTGTAATTCATGAGGTCGCCGTGGTGGTTCTGGAGAGCACTGAGATGCCTCGCATCCAGGGTGGTGCTAGTAAGTAGTGATGGCAGGATTCTAATTCAGATCCCCATCACCTATTCTAGTGCCTACCAGCTGCCTTCAAGTCAGTTCCGGCTCATGGTGACCCCTTGTGTACAGAGTAGAACTGCAATCCGTAGCATTTTCAAGGCTGTGACCATTTGGAAGCAGATTGCCAAACTTTTCTTCCAAGGCACTTCTGGGTGGACTCAAACTGCCAACCTTTCAGTTAGCAGCTGAATCCTTAGCTGACTGCACCATCCAGGAACTCCTTACTCTAGTGAAGTTTCCTTTATCCTAAACTAGCTTCGCAGGATGCAGCACATGCTGAAGTTATTGCTAAATATTTTATAAGAAAAGCCACCTGAGGATAGGTGCTAATGATAGTCAATGTTCCCGTAATCTGGTGCTGATGGGTTATAGAACATAAAGCTCTCGTTTTCTTTTCTATCTTATTTTGAGAGGTTACATCTATCTCTACAAACACACAAAAAATGTTTTGTTCAGTTCACTGCAAGTCATCCTTTCAAAGAATGTAAGCTATAGTCTTTTCCTGCCTCCTGAGGCATTTATATGCATTTCCAGACATACTTCTGAAGTATTTATTAAAACAAATCACGGACTTGAGATCCTGAGTTGCTTTCCAGTTTGACTTTGATTTCCCATCTGTTGTGCTCAAGGGTCTCATGAACAGTGGGATTGCCACTGTGCCACCAGATATATAAGCTACAAGTGTCATATGATGCCAATTCATGACATTTCTGTTACTGCTTGTCATCAGTTCTGAGAGCCTCTCTGACTTCCCTCTGTTAAGATGTTAAGTTAAAGTGAAGAAGTCCAAAACGAAATCTTTACACCAAACTCTATTCTCCTAGGAAAGATTTTGTAAATCACACTTTAGAAAATGTGGAAACCTTGTCCATATTTCTGTAGAAGAACTTCTTGGTGTATAAATACCAATCTGCATGTTTAAAGGACAGTTTCCTCAGCTTATAGCCAAACTATAAACTCTCACTGAATGGGCTCTTGGATTCCAAGCTTTACAAATGAAAATAAAATAGAATGGAAAACAAATCTGACCCACATTTATAGTGGTTTCTCCAGTGCAGTCATTCTTTTTATCCTGTTCCTATTTTTAGCACTT